CAACTTGTCTAAACCACTCCACTATATCATACACCTGATTGCTGCGTTGTGGAATAGTCTAAGCTATGACCCTTTGGCTCTTTTTCTAAGACAGTGTGTTGTCTTAGTAAAATCATCCCTTCCTTGGGTGGCTAGATTCTCACATCTGGTGCACCCACCATTACATGGACTCCTACAACCAATCCCAATTGGAAGCCAACCATGGAAGGACATATCACTCGATTTTATTACAGGATTACCATTATGTGAAGGAAACAATTCTATCCTTGTAGTAGCATGCCGACTTACAAAAGAGCGCCATTTTATCCCATGCTTTGCAGGTAAAGAAGGCACTACAGCAGAAGCTACAGCGAGGTTACTACTCCAGCATGTATGGAAACACCATGGTTTACCAAATTCCATCATCTCAGACAGAGGGCCCCAGTTTGTAGCTGTAGTGTGGAAAATCCTCTGCAAAGTTTGGAAAGTTACAATCAAATAGTCTACAGCCTTCCACCCAGAAATGGATGGGCAAACTGAAAGGTTTAATGCAGAACTCGAGCAATATTTACAGGCTCATGTCAACTATCTCCAAGACAACTGGGTTGAATATCTTTGCATGGCTGAATTCGCAGCAAATGCCCTTCCATCAGACTCAACAAAAGTTAGCCCATTTTTTGCAAACAAGGGTTTCGAGCCAAGAATGAGCTTTGATATAGAGGATAGCACGTTCCAAACTGCCCTTCAAGAACATAAGGACATAGCTCAAAACATGAAAAATATTTGGGAATTCCTACAAGACCAGATCGCCCTCTCACAAACCCGAATGGAGCACTTTGCAAATCAAAACAGGAAGCCAGCACCAAGATATAAGATAGGAGACCGAGTCTGGCTTTCTACTCGGAATATCAAAACCCAACGACCCTCAAAGAAACTTGACCATAAGCAAGTTGGTCCATTTCAAATCCTTGAGCGAATTGGGAATGTTGCATACCGACTCCAGCTACCACCAAGCATGAAGATACACCCTGTGTTTCATAGCAACCTCTTACGACTTGACTCAGATGATGAACCACCCCTGCCAATCATTATAGAAGATGAACTTGAATGGGAAGTTGAAGAAATCCTAGATTCTAAACTCCTACGGAAGAAGCTGTTCTATATGGCAGCATGGAAGAACCACCCATTAGACAACACTTGGTATCCTGCTACAAACTTCAACAATGCACCTGAACTCACACTAGCTTTCCACCGAAAATACCCGCAGAAGCCATGATGATCTTACTCTTGATCAGGAGATCAATCTTACTAGGGGGGGGGTAGTGTTACGATTACAGCTCACAGCTTGTCACAGCTTGTTACGGTTGTTACAGTTGTTACGGTTGTTATGGTTGTTATGGTTGTTATGGTTGTTACGGTTGTTACGGTTGTTACAGTTGTTACAGTTGTTACAGTTGTTACGGTTATTACGGTTATTACAGTTGTTATGGGGATTACGGGTGTAGCCTTAGCCACAAGGTTACAACCGCTAAGCAGACAACTGTATGTTATGAGGAATAGCCTCACCTTCCTTCCTTCTTCTTCTTCTTCTCTCTTTAGATTCAATCTAGATTACTTTTCCTGGACTGGCATCATGACCTCTATGACCATCGTAACACAGGGCACCCAGCTCACAGTAATCGCATATGAGAGTGCGCGTCGGAGGCTAAACAAATGCTATCCTATAGGTCTACTACAAAGGATACAAAAAAGATGAAGAGAGGAACCCCCGTTGGGTCAATCTCCTTAAGTATCCGAAACGGGTCCGACTCGGCTAAGCTACCTTCACTCTCACCACGTGACCGTAACCTGCCCGACTCAGATCCTTTCCGTCACTGAGGGACAGGCATCCTTACAGTGACCCTACTTGTTCCCTCTATTCCCTTGCAAAAGAGCACAACTGCCTTCACTTATATCCGCAAATCAAACGCTGTTACAATGGAATCCCAAGTGTTGCAGGACAAGGAGGACAGAATAAGGCATTCAGCAGTGAACAAGAAGCTGCTCTTTTGAAGTATATTGATCAATGTATTAAGTTTTGGGTTTCCTGCTTCACATCGAGTTATGGGTGGAAATACGGATGTACCTAAAAAGCAGAAAGTAGATAGTTACATAATCCAAATCTGCCCCACTTCTATAATGTTGAACATCTATAACGCTGCACTGCACCTCTTGGAAAGAGATGCAGCCCCCGAAGGAGTACACAGGCGAGCAGACCATCAGGGGTTAGCTCAGCTGACCTGAAAATGCTCCACTTTTATGACTAAACCTTGCACATTGGTCAGCTAAGCTCACGTAGCATCACATGATATGGTCAGGTAGGGTGAAAAACGGTATATAAACAACAGTAGTAATTCAAATGCATTATTCACAATGGATGAGATAATTTCACTACCTCAACAAGACCTATGGTCTAATACTGTTAGTATTGATAGTAGTCTTCAATTTGAGGATGAAAGATATCAGGAAGAACGACTTGTCACTGAAGAAGAAGAAGAGGAGGAGAAGGTAAGAGCTGCCTAATATATACTTAATGCATTACGGAGGAAGCGTTCAAAAGTTTTGTCCCATGCTAGGAAACGCCACAGTTCACAATTTAATTATGTACATAGTTATGAAATCAGTGTTCTTCTCGCCCCTCCTTGTACTCATTTCTGCCTTCTAGCTCGATGACTTTCTGGATATGTCGAGGAATCCTCTCGACCCAGGCTTGGATTTGCGACTGAGGGAGATCTTCCCAACAGGTCTCCCAAGCTCGTATCGCGTCTGGTCGACTTTTTGGTGCCCCCTTCCTTGTAGTCCTCCTTTTCATCCATGGCCAACATGGCTCGATGACATTTAAATCTGGAGAGTTGGCGCAACAGAAGAGGTGATTAATGTCATGTAATTGAAATACTCGCCGCTGAATGTAATGATTGTGTGATGGAGCGTTGTCTTCTTGTACAATAGTATCCGGACAGTCTACCATGCATTCCCTTGCGAATGGGAACATCTTTGGTATTAGAATCTTTTTCTGATACCGGTACCAATCAATCCCCCCTCCTCCTTTCTCACGGCTTAACTTCCCATTCTTTTTATTCCATCTCCATAGTGGCTTTATACCAGGAAGATTGCGTAGAGACATTCGGCGTATCCCATTTGATAATTCCCATTCTTCTCGTAAAATTGGTTCCAACTCTTCATTCATTCCATGTATTTCAACTTCTGCAGCGTCTCGTTCTTTTTTTGTCTCTGGGATCCAACAATGACATGGCCCTTTCTTGTCGTAAGTAAAACATCCCCAAAACATAAATTCTGAGTATCCTTTCCACCGTTCCCTAATGCAACTCCATAAAAATGCCTCGTCTGTTTTTCTCCATATCCGATAACCTCCCCGTCTATGGTTTAGTACCACAGATGTCTTGTCTGACCATATTACATTTTTCCAATCCTTGAGTGTCCAGTGCTGATGGTCGAGGCACCATTTTAATCTCTCCGCCCTCATCTTCTTCGTCAACCCAGGCTTCCTCATCAGTTTAGTTTTCCGGAAGCCAGCAGTCCTTAAAACCCTCCATATTGTCGTGGAGGAGATGTCGATACCTTGCAAGCTAAGTTCCCCCGCGATATCAGCACAAGTTTTTTCCCTTCCCTAATGGTCAGTTCGCACCTTTGCAACAACTCCCTCTGTCGCTTCAGCTGTTTGTTTTGTCGGGCGGCCAGACCGGGGAGCGTCCTGTAACCACTCATCTTGTAAGGTGAGTGGCATATGGTTGGGGTCAAACCCACGCTCAATTGCGCGAGTATATATCCGGTTGACCTGTCGGGTTGACAGGCCAGTTTTCTCAGCAACTTCCGCTGAAGTCTTTCCTCCAGTCGGAGATTTGAGGGCCACAATCAGGGCCCTCGTCGAGATATCCGTAGGAAGTTATGCATACCTTGGCATTCTTGGCAGGACAAAACTTTTGAACGCTACCTCCGTACTGAAGATTTATTTATGGGGGTCAGCCGAGGTTTTGCCGGAAGTGGAGTGGGTCAGCCTAGGTGGGGGGATGCTCGGGTCACCTACGTTCTGCCCCCGAAGCGAGAGTTCTCGCGGGAGGTGTAGCCGCACGATTAGTGGCTACGGCCCAATTGGGCGGTGGAGCTAGAGAGGTGATTGGGGCCTGAGGCAGCAGAAAAATCGCTCAGACGCGGGGGTGTCTAGGGGTCCGGAGAGGGCCCGCCAAGCGTACCTTAATGGCTCTAGCGTCGTAGCTGGGTGAACACACCGGACACTAAGGGTGACGGGGTGGATATAAAGTCAGCCTCTAGCCTCAGCTCGGCGCTGGAAAGAGATACACCAATCAAGATATGCTGGAGGAAACAATGTTTGAGAGAGAAGCATGATGCATTATCACCAATGCAGCTTCTGCATCTGGGAACCCGGACTCGACTCGGCGTTTGCTCTCAGCTTGATTCACCCCGCTGATCAACTAGTGACTTCCTGATCGGCCATCTGTCGTCCCACCACGCAAGCCTTTTTTCTTTTATGTTTCAGTTAATGGCTACCGATCACAACTATGGTTTCCGGATCTAGACATAAACTCCCCCCGCCGGACCCTCCGTTTCCCAGCCCGACCCGGCGCGCGATGGACGCATTTGGAAATAGTTTTCGTGGTTCAGTAGTTCAAAGCAAAATCTAAGCCTAGAGACTGGCAACATTTCCGGAGGTCACGGATATGGATAGAGCATCGCCGGTTGCATGCATGGGAAAGACATCGGGGATGGGGGTCTCAAATGGTTATGATGTAGATTGCTCCGTTTTCACAGGAATATGTTTCAAGTTTATACGAGCCTCCATAGGAGAGTTGAATCGTGGTTGATTATCTAGCTGTGTCTTACCCAACTCCGGCGCTTTCCAGTATTTACGCAGTATTTACGCATGCACTATAACGGCTTTGGCTCTGCTGCTGCATTTTCAGCAAGCCACGAAATGCTGATCTTGATCTTTAACTCAGTGGTAGTGTCTTAGCAGAGACTGTAAGCCGTTACCGTTGCAATAGGCAAACAATACATATAGGGAGCCGAAATCAGTCATTCAAGTCCTCGACAACAAGCACAGAGTCCTAAACAGCAAAACTTTATCAACACCCTAAAGCACTCCATTTTATATCAAAATGAAGTTGGCCAACCTCCTTCTTCCCCTTGTGGCAACTGCCCCTGCCGTCCTTGCATCTCGCCGCTTCGATCGGGCCCCTGTCCAGATTCGTATGTATCAGGTACGTGATAATTTTTGCTTGACACCAGCATCTCACTGACTGATTTTCCAGCCTGCCGTTCCCGCATACGACGATAGCCGCGTCCAACACTTTCACGACAAGGTACTGTTGGCGCGCATGAAGGAGTACTTTGTCTCTTTCGTGGTTGGCAACTACACCGGGATGCACGATTTGCAGGCCGATAACTTCCACATCACCGACATCCGTAAGGGCTCTTTTCCCCTTCCCCTTTCTTAATAAATACCATTCTAACACTCTACTCCGCTACAGCTCTTGCTATCGTCAGGGCAGATAGAGAGCAATGGCTCGGAGCAAACAGAGGATTCAGTTCCCTCATGACAGATGTTAAAGTCCAAGCCATCTCTATCGACGGTAGTTCTGAACCCTGCAAATTCGGCATCATGGAGAATGTGGTGTGGTTTACGCTTGCGGTTGACCCTCCGGAGGAAGCGAAGCCGGGTCTTCCCCCGGGAATCAAGAAGGGTGATACGGCGGGTATGATCATGCTGTCTACGATATGGTGGAATGAGGAGGGGAAGGTCAAGCGCGATCTCGAGTATGGAAAGCTGGTGTGGCCGGGCTTTGATATCGATGCCTTCAAGACTTGGTAAGAAATACAACTGTTGCTTAAAGAGGGTTTGCTGGTAGTTGGGGGACTTGGAGGCAGATGCGGCATTAGGGGAGGGAGAGTAGTACAGAAACCCGTCTAGCCGTTACGATCATTGCTAGATGCTAGGGTAACTGGGACTCTCGGATACAGATGTGGCATTGGGAGAAGGATAGTAGCACAGAACGCTCGTCCAGCCGTTACAATCTTTGCTAGACATTTAGGTTCCCACTGTTGCCATGATTCCCGACGCGATTCCATGCATGCCAATTCCTACATCAATTTCTTTCACTAACGCTGTCATCATCCCCGTGAATCTTTCACCATCACGATTCTCACTATAGATGCCATTCTCACGCTCATTCCTTGCATATTATGGTAAACGTGAAATGTTTTCTTTACCGTCCTGTTTATAAATCCATGCTGTAATTTAACCTGCGTAAGAATAGTAGGTCACCATCACCAGATTTAACAAATAGTATTGGTATCTGTTGTCCGGCCTGTTTTGTTTGCGTTAGTAGCTCCCTTAGAGTTCTTTCTTGGAAGTATTTGCAAATAAGGGGTATAAGCTGTTCTAATATACCTCGCGTTCTATCCAAATATCGGCAAATCCCTTGCCACGATCATACCAATCAATATTCGTATGTTCGTATAGTGTTGCTCAATAATCACCTTCGAACAAAGTGGATTCAGTAAGGCCAAACAAATTATGGATATTAGTGTAGTGCGTACGCGTCGGAAAAGGGAAACCTCGTCTATTTCCTCTTGATTTCCGCCGCGTTTGCGTTTAAGAGAATCAACAGTCATAGATGGACTGAACATAGTGTATGACTTTACCAAGCTCGGTGCCTCATTTGTGAGATTTCTGTTGTTGATATTACGTGGAGCATTCTCTGGATTAGACTAGCCGGCCCGGACCGTAAAGACCGGACTGGACTGGACCGGACCGCTTATATGAGTGTTCCAGTCCTTAAATTTAAGACCGGACCGTGGTTCGGTCCTCCTTTTTTTAAAAAGCCCGGACTGAATTTCAGTCTAGTCTCTAGGGTTAAGACCGGACTGTGGTTCGGTCCTCCTTTTTTTCAAAGCCCAGACTGAACTTCGGTCCAGTCTCTAGGGTTAAGACCGGACCGTGGTTCGGTCCTCCTTTTTTTCAAAGCCCGGACTGAACTTCGGTCCAGTCTCTAGGGTTAAGACCAGACCGTGGTTCGGTCTAGGCTTTTTTACCATCCGAGCTTTTTTTTAAAAAGCCCGAACTGAAGTTTAGTATATTTAGCTTGTAGATCACGATGTTAGTCCTGTGACCAAGAGTAACGGTATATAGTAACGGTATATTGATAGAAATTAGGATAAATTTATCATATAGATAATAAATTATGGTAATTACATTAGAGTTATAAGTGCCGTATGTCTCAGAATGCATCAGCTTACAGTGGCTTCCCTACCATCACCACCACCGCCATCGCACACAGGTTTGTGTCGACTTTGGGAGGCCAGCCTTCCTACCACCTAGCGCAAAGGTTGGTATCTATCGCAGTAGTTAACATAATATATTGTTCAAGCTGGTTCCAAATGCTATATAAGGCTAATTAGTGATATATTCCGTTACTGTGAGCCGTTACTCTAACCCACATCTGAATAGTACCCTCCTCTACCTTCTAAGTCGTTGCGAATGTCGAGGAGTATCAATGGAGGCTTCATCATTCTGAAGGTCCTTATTTAGAACCCCAAAATTTCGCTTCCTCTGAGTTTCCAATCTTCCATTGCGACCTTGTGTAGCTCTATGTGGCGTTGATGGGTCTGGTAGGTCTTGTTCAGCATCCTCCTCGTCAGATGATATTACCATCGTCATAGCAACTTGTCGATCAGAGTCCTCAATTATAGAGTCTGGGTCAGGAGCACCAAATACATGGTCTATATTATCCCAATGATTATCAAGTTCCCACTTATACCTATGATAGTGTTTAACAATCATCGACTCTCGAACTGTAGCCGTACTCATTTGTGCCCTGTGGTATTCATGGATATCGCGGGCAATATTAAATATGCGCTCAACTCCAGTACCAGTAGCTGTTTAAAGCGATTTGTAAGATATTTGCGTTACTCTTAACCGTTACTGTAGGAGCTTACCTGGTACTGCAAGGATATCCCTTGCCATCTTCGCAACTGAAGGGTAAGAGAGCTCTAAGGTCTTCCACACTAGGAGCACTGGAGTATCTGCATCAGCACTAACCACTGGCGCATTTAAATAACGCTCAGCTTCATTATAGCTGGTACTTGATGGGCTCTGCCACCCTTTATGTAGCTGCCGGTTCATCCGAAATACCGCATTAAGACTTGTTGGTGTATAGGGGCAAGGCGGTACTGCCTCATGCTGGTCCCTCGAATCTTTTTGATAGTAAGCCTTCCAGTAATCTAAGAATATTTGGCGGTACTTCTTTGAGTGGGAACGGTCCCATTCAGGAGCGTTAAAAATGTCCAGTTTCTGAGATGGATCAAGAATTGCAGCAAGAGCATACGTCTGTTCAACAGGACCACCAGTTTCAGTATAATAGTGCCTTAACTTTGCAACACCTGCAGTAATAGCAGCAGTAAACTCGTCTACCCAAGGATTAGATGCTGTATCCTTGTTATATAGCTTTTGATTAATATCATCAAGATGGTCAAATAATGTATTGTATACATTCCATGTATGGTTGATTGTAGTGTCTTTCGTGTTTCCAATAAGATGAGTAAATTCTGCAAAGGGCTGCAGAAGAGCGACTAAGTATTTTAGTTTTTTCCAGTCGGTTGGTGACAATGCGAATTGATCAAGATGAGGCTCCTTAATAATCTGTTCCTCAAGCCAACTTTTAATTGGGATGCGTAGTCTTATCGCTCGGACTATCATGTCATATGTAGAATTCCAGCGTATATCAATATCCCGTTTTAGCTGCAGTAGTCTCTTTGCTTCTATATCAGATTGCTTCTGGAGCAATAATTCAGTTTTCTTTGCAGACCTGCTCACAAGATTGCTAAGAGTGCGTATCTGTGTATTTGACGTCAGTTAGCGTTACTATCAAGCGTTACTATCATGGACTAACCTTTCTAATAGCTGATGTGACTGTCGTATCATCAGTAATTGAAACACCAGTAACATCTATAACTTCTTCAGCCATGTCGACATTGAAGGCCTTTAGCATAGCTTTTACAACTAGCTGTATAACATGCACCATGCATGGTATTTTTGTTGCATCACTACTCCACTCTACTTCTTGTGTAGTACTTCTCATGTAGCTCTCAAGTTCCTTGCGCATTGTTCCATTGTTTGATGCATTATCAGTTGTCACGCAAAAAAGTCGTCCCGTAATATTGAATTGTTCCAGTACATTGTGTACAACAGCTGCCATATTTTGTCCTGAATGGACTCCAGTCATTGGCTCGAAACCAATAAGACACTATAAGATGTATGTTAGTAAGTTAATATATTATTATATAAGTTATAATCTGCTCACCTCTCTCCATTGCCAATCATCAGTGATATAATACACAGTAATTGCTAAGAACGCTAATTTGAACGGACTTTGCCATCCATCAAGGGCAATTGAAACCTTTGCCATAGGCGGTAAATCCAATAGTAGCTTCTCCATGACGTTGTTAAATTGCATTGTTAATTCTTTGCGTATAACTGTCCGGTGTGGAATTTCCAGGTCGGGTTTCAACATGTTTAGAACCTTTCGCACCTCCTTGTTCTCCACTATTCGAAAAGGGAGGCTTGATGAAATTATGGCTATAATCAACTGCTCTCGCCATGCTGTATGTGTGAAAGGCTGTATGGTATTCCTTTCCAAATGCGCATGCGGCAGCTAAAGAAGGTCATTAGCGTTACTCTAGAACGTTACTCTAGACCACTGGATAGATAACTTACTAAGTGTAAATGAGTTTGCGATCCATCCTTTCTACTACAAGCGCCAGATTTGGTGTGTCGGGTTAAAGTAGATGTGCTACTCCCACCTTGTCGAAGCTTAGGGTGTGCAAAAGCCCTCCAACACAACTGACATAGTACCTTAGGATTGCCAGTTCGGACCTCAGCTCCTTGGTAGAATTGAGTCCATATTAAGGACCTCTTCAACCTTGTCCAAACCATATGTCGGAATATCTCTTGATTGATGTTGTTTGAAATCTTCGCAGTCCATCATTGATGCCATTCGTTAGCGGTATCCTCCTTCCATATAACATATCGATTATTAGGAGACTTGGGTAGTTTTTCAAGAAGTTCATCAAGAGGAGCTTCAATTCCACTCAGTACATCATCTTGGGAGAAGATAAGTGCTGGCTCGAAAGGCGAGTTGATATCCTCAGTGTCAGAGGTAAGCGGATGCTCAAATTGTGACTGATTCATCATTGTAAATGGGCTTGGGCTCGACATGTTGTTAAGAGGATAGAGAAAATGTACTGTAGTAGGAGTGTAGGTCAATCAGACGAATGATGAATGTTAAGTGAGGCCTTTTGGAAGGACGGCCATTTCTTCATAGTCTTTTGCAACAGAACAAATGGTAGTACAGAATACAAGAATGCCACATTGCAATAGGGTAATATTTGAACTCTTTGTCGTTACTCTTTGCCGTTACTCTTTGCCGTTACGCATTGCCATTACGCATTGCCGTTACTCATTGCCGTTACTCTTTGCTATTCCTATTTTGTGTTAGTTGAACATAGTATTATGGAGTTAAACAATTTTGTCTAGCTCTAATTAGGTGTACCATAACGCTAGAGAGTAACGCTTACGAGTTTTAAATTACAAAATCAGCAATTTGGTTTCATTGGCTTAACAATTTGCTACATTAGCCCTATCTTATTTCAAAGTCCGAAGCTATATCTAGTACTATTAGCTGTTGCTACAGCATATAACAAGATAATGAGCAGTGTGTATAACCCTAAGTAGATACAGATCGATTATATTTCCTATGTAGCATAATATAAAGTTAAACTGTATAACCGACATTTGATTGTTAATTGGCCGGGCTGTATTCCTTGGCTCAGCCGAGGAGTAGAAGCATGCTGGCTTTTTGCTTTTGGGCTCTCTTCCGTTACTGCTGGCCGTTACTGTAGCCTACGTGTAACCGAGATGATGAGTAGTAGCCCTTATTTTTATTGGATGCAGAGTCTGTATATCCTAGCTAGTGTAA